ACATGGATGGACTCTCCACTACTTACAACGTCATGCTTCCACTCTTCCCTTGAGGGTAGGAGGGTCGCGAACGCTGTAGCGGGTGCAGGTTCCGGAAGTGCATAGTCCACCAATCCGGGTAGCCCCGGAACCTCCGTTAATATTCTACCGTGACCATAACTGGTATTTGACCACTTATTTAGAATATTCATTCGAATTGCCGCGCCACTTGCGACTTGTTTGGCATGTAGGTCCACCGGAAGAAAATTCAGTAGGGCATACAGTGCCTTGGATGGTGTTGTTCTCATCGCACCAGTTATGAGTGTGGACGCAAGCCTTTGAACCTTGTCCATTTTTTTGAAGTTTACCCCTTTCCCAAGGGTGTTCCACCATACCACTATACCGTGATAGAGAATTGGCCTAACCACCGCCGTGTATAGCCAGTGTATTATTTTGGGTTCCATCCCCCACTTTTTCCCTATTGCTCTGCTGCAGGAATATAGTGCCACTGTTGCTTTGCGCACTCTATCTGCAACGTTGGGCCCCCAGTTTAGTTTCCTATCTACTATGAGACCTAGATATTTGGTCTCTTCCTTTATTGCGAGGGTGTTGCCCTCTAGGGTTATGTTCCCGAGATCAGGTATCTTGTGCTTCCTGGTGAACAGCACAAGGTCTGTTTTTTCAGGATTCACTCCCAGTCCTCGCCTGTTACACCACAGGGATAGTTTGTTGAGGGATCTTTGGATCAGATCTGTCAATGTTGAGAGATGTTTACCCGAGATAGCTATTACAATATCGTCGGCGTATGCAATTATCTGACCGCCAATGTCTTCAAGTTCCCGAAGAAGGCTGTCTACTGCTATGTTCCACAGGAGCGGTGATATTACTCCCCCCTGGGGTGTACCCCTGACGGGGAACCTTTTTATTACTGATTCACCTAATCCTGCGCTTATTTCTCGGCCGATTAACATTCGTTCAATAAATGAGGTTAGTGAATTGCTTACTCCCAGATTTATCAGAGATGAGATAATCGCTGCAGGAGATACATTGTTGAAAGCACCCTCGATGTCCAGGAAGGCCGCGAGGGTGTATTCTTTGTAATAAAGTGATCTTTCAATTGTGTGCACTAAAGAATGGAGTGCTGTTTCGACTGATCTCCCTTTGTTGTAGGCATGCTGGGCTGCCGAAAGTTTGCTGCCCACCTTGTCTCTAATGTGCCCATCTATTAGTCTCTCTAGAGATTTCAACAGGAAAGACGACAGACTAATTGGTCTGAAGTCTTTTGGTCTCGTGTGTGTAGTTTTCCCTGCCTTGGGAATGAAAACTACTCTTACCTCCTCCCATTTGTGGGGTATATAATTCATTCGTAACACTGCTTCAAAGACTGGTACGAGTATGGGTGCAATCATTCCTGCTGTATGCTGTAGGTCAGCGGGAATAATGCCGTCTGGTCCCGGAGATTTAAACGGTTGGGAGCTGCTAATAGCACGCTTTATGTTCTCCTCGGTTATGATATTCGCTGGAATGTCATCATGGTTGCCTATGATTCGGGTATTTGTGACCCTACTGGGGAGGCAACCCGGAAAGTGCGTCTTTACAAGAAGCTCTAGAGTTTCTTCGCTACTTGTTATCCAATCACCATCCTCCTTGATGAGATAGCTAATATTGCTGGGACTCATAGATAGTATTTTGCGCAGTCTGCTGGCCTCCGAAATACTTTCTATCTTCTGACAGAAGTTCCCCCATGAGGAGCGCTTAGCGTCTCTTATTGCATACTTAAATCGGCGTTGCCAGTCTTTAAATTCACTCCAAGAGTTGGATCTCTTAGCTTCATTAAATTTTGATCTGCATTCCCTTCTGAGGGTTGCAATTTCAGTGGACCACCATGGAGGTTTTGGTTTCCTACTTGTTGCCCTGATTGGGCAGGCTAATTTTGCTGCACGATGAAATGCTTTAGTTATATCGTCTACGACGTTATCAAGTTGATGTTCCGAGTTTATTTGATTTGTGAGGTCGGAAATATTATTAGAAAAGATTGTTTCAAATTTTTTCCAATTTGTTTTTCTGCGGTTTAAGACCGCTTGTTGTTTTCTTACTGGTACGTATAGGTTATAAACGACGTATATGTGATTTGAAAAGGAGTTGTCTTTTGAGACTCTCCAGTCATTCAAGAGTTCTGCCCCCTGCTTATTGACACATGTAATGTAAAGGACCTCCCTTGTAACATTCAACGACATCAACATCTATACCGTTTCCTATATCGTGATATCTGTTAGGTCTGGGTAAACTTTGAAAGGTTTGCCAGGAAGTGTCTTGAACCAGAGGATCATTACACACCCTTTCAAGGGTGCGAAACGAAAAAACTTCCCATTCGGCGCTAGGCAGAGGTTCGCAATTACCGCTTGTAACAAAATTAACGTGTCTTAGGCCCCAGGATTGCCTGAAAAGATCTGAGAACATGCACGGAGTTGTTCTTGGATTTAATCCACCGCCCCTTCTAATTTGACCAAAATAATGTTCTATTTCGTCCTGGCAGAGTCTTCTGGTTCTTATATACTCGAATTCATGGTTTGACAGTATAAGCCACAAACGTCGCAAACTTTGGATGTTAAGAAGCCAGCCTTTAATAAAGGAAAACTTGTTCGTGATATCTCGACCAAAGAGTATATCATGAACAGTTATTGAACGAAGGGTTCGTTCAGCTTCACTCAAAAAATCGAATTGTTCCGTGCTACCTGAAAAGGGTTGACCAAATTTACGGAGGGCTCCAATCCCGTTACTATTAAAAATATTGAAGAGTTGGTCGAAGAAAAGTACAAATTCGGCAGTATTTAAAAAGCTTGGAGATTGAGACGTGTTTAGATTCCCGGTACTATACAGAGAAAGCATTGCACTAGCGACCGTATTGCTTAGTACTTGAGCAGCTAAACGAACACTCATTTTTTCAAAGGATGTTGGCTTAAGATGTGCCGTAGTCAACTTAGGCGCACATCGTATACCACGATGGGTATCCTGCTGATAGAAATGGACAATATCTGCCCATTGAACAGGGTTACCACGAAAATTAACATTATTTTTATTATTTTCGATACAGTTCCGCGTACTCTTTAGCAGATGGGGGGAATCAAAGAAAAATATAACTTTCTCACCGTTAACTTCGAAGTATGGCCTATCTTCTGCAACCCCTACAAGACGAGCGAAGTTAACAAAATTTGATCCTTGATCACAGACGAATTGGCAGGTATGAAGACCAATCCCCTGGAGTTGAACTATAACCTCAAACACATATTTCCTTATCACATCACCCTTGCACGAGCCGTGCACGAAAAAATAGGCAACGGGCTGTGACCAAGGGGCTCCGCCTATGCCTTGAGCCATAATACATAAAACACTATTCGCTACTCTCGACGTGCGATTCTCATCGCCATAATCTTCTAATCCTATTATAAAATCTCTACTCTTGTCATATTTCAAGTGCGTCTTTAAAGACATTTCATCACAGCATATCGAAATGTACTTTTGTTCACGAGTGAAACCTCGGCTTCGCAACTCCAGAGATCGAATGCTGCTAGTGGAACAGCCAGGGAGCCTAGGCCAACCTTTAACGAACGTGGAAAGTGTTGTTGGGGAAGGCCAGTGAAAAAGGGGTCTTAAGTACCTATACGCTAAAGGTGACGTAAACCTAACTCCTAAAACTATTGTTTTTAAACTTCTATCGAAGCGTCGACCAGAAGGTGGCCGGCCATCATTCTTCATGCAATTTCTCACACATACCGCGAGATGTGGGGGAATTTTGCTGCATAAAGCTTCAATTTGCCTGTTATCCTGCCGCTGAACAGGCAAACTTTGGGTCATCAAATTTGAAATTTGTACTTCCTTTTCAACTAGCCTTTGTTTTAAGACTTCTATCTCTTCCTTATATTTGCGCTTCCTAGGAGACTCTTCGCTAAGATGTGCCTCTGTCTGTGTCCCTTGGCTAACTACCCCAAACGTTGAATTTCCTAAAGAAGAACAAGTTGGATGTTCACGAAAAGTGTGTTGAAGAGCCTCCTCTTCTCCCATTCGGGTTGAAAAAACTACTGGGGTGACTTGTTCACTTATATCTGATTGGGACAAGCTTTCTAACACTAATCCTACTGTGGGTGCGCGCAAATTCATATCGGGGATAGCCCCTTTTGATAGTTTTCTGACATTCCGATATTTCGGAGAAAAATGCTTCTGGCACGCATACAGCTCCTTGGCCTCTGTGTTAACGTCCACTCCAAGGAGCCTCATCCATTCCAAGCGCCTATTAAATAATTAAAAGCAGTTAGTCTCTTGATCTTAATTATATATGTCTATAAAAATTAGTGAAATGAAAATAATAAAAATTATAAAAAATGCAAATAAATAAAATAAAATAAATAAAAAATATGAAATGAAATAAAAATATTGATATGCCAAATGCCAAACTCTAATGTCGAATTTCCACAAGGCATTGAAATGAAAAAAAATGGGGGCATTTAAAAATGCCACGTGGAAATTAATTTAATAACTACTATTTCAACTTTGTCATTACAATTTTCGGCAATTAAAGGCTAGTGGAAATTCAGCAAAAAGCTAAGAAATAAATTTGGATTTGAAAAAAAAACCGTTATTTAAATAAAAACAAATGATACTTTAAATAAAAAAAATTATGATTTAAATAACCAAACTATGATTTAAATAAAAATGTGATGAGCGAAATAATATACCGATACCATTTGATGAAAACTAAAAAAATTCTTTACCAACCTTTTCTTTTATAAATCGTTGTTGCCAACGTTCTGATACTCGTTAAAGTATTTTAATGTTTTTAACACTTTATTGAATACATTCTTAACCTTGGTAACATTAGTTTAGTTAACTATTATTAGTACATAATTATGTTTATTTTCTTACTAATTGTAGTTTGTTATGTAATTTTATGTTTAACGTCTAATGGCATTATTCATAAAAAATTAAGTTTCTTTAAAATAGGTTTATAAATTGAAAAATATATGAAAACGTCGATTTATAAAGCTCTTTAAACCTACTTTATTTTTTTATGAATAAGGCCATAAGCCTAATTACTAGAAGGTAGCTGAAAACCTAAGTACATGCATACATGCATGTATATGAAAATACCGATTTTATAATTAAACACTGTAACTTAAAAAAAAACTTAAATCTACGACTTATTACTAGTAAGCAGCTGAAAACCGAAGTACATAATAATATATTTTGCTGCTTTTACACTAAATTTAACTCCACGCATACTAATTAAAATTAATTAGATACAAAGAGGAATTAACAGCACGTACCATCTTAGCTATCTTATTAAAAGGTTAAAGCTATTTAAAATACAATAAAGGCGCGATGTTAAAATTATTAATTAAATATAAGTCCACGAAACCGGTTTGATGTGAAAATTTTCGATAATTTACTTCCCGTATCATTCTTGGTCAATAAGCCTGCCGATGATTAAAATTTTCACTATTAAAAAAACATTGAAAACATATACACACTACAATGAAATTATGGTCAAACTTTATTAACTGGATAAGCGATAAAACTGTAAGACTAGTCCGTCTGGCAGGATTTTAACATAACAAATGTACAAATAAATGCGGGAGTACCCTATATCTCTTTAAAGTACAAAAACTAAATCCAGACGATGGCTATCGCTTATCCAGCATTCAGTTTAACTAATTTTAATAAACAAATAAAATTAAATAAACATCATACCTTGATACATCCGAGGCCAAAGGAAACTTGTAGAGGGAGCTTACTTCTGCACATCTGCATACACATCTTTTCGGCATTTTTTCTACAAATACGTACATATGTATGTAAATACACAATAATTAAAAAAGTGAACGCAATAATAAATTTACATATTGTACTTACTTGTTGGTTGTTTGTTGTTTGGCCAGAAACTTCCAAATCTCCACTAGGCCGATATTTGTAAAACCTCTGCTAGCACACGACTCACGTGTATTGCAAATACAAAATGTCTAAATCTTATTTAAAAAGAAAGTCAATATTTCGCTAATGCAAGATTTACATATATATTATTTCACAAAACTCAATATTTTACGAAAACCACGAAAATTTTCCGGAAAAAACACTATGCGAGCACAAATTTGCCTAATTATTTGATATTCAGCTACATCCCAGAGTTGCATTTGTAAATATTTTAGGAAGTGTTCCAAAATTCGCTCCGAGCGCGTTCACTGTTGATCTATTGATTTAAATAGTTGTTTGTCAAACATTTATTACTTTAGTTTGATCGGAGTTAAAATATTCTTCAGTAATAAATCATATTATATCAAAACATAAGCTTATAATAGGTGAGAAATTATTTACTCTTAATATGCATAATATTTTACACCATGTACCAAAACTCGCCCTAAGCGCGTTCACTATTGAAGTTTTGATTTGAATATTGTTTGTCAAGCATTCAGTAGTGAAGTTTGATCAGAATTTATATATTCTTCAGTAATTAATCATCCTACATTAAAATACAAACGTATAATATGCGAGAAAGTTAGAAATTATTTAGTCTTAATAAGCATAATATTTTTTTCGTGTTCCAAAACTCGCTCCGAGTATGTCCATTTGATTAAATTAATTGTTTGACAAGCATTCAGTACTATAGTTTGATCGGAGTATATATATTTTTCAGTAGTTGATTACTTTGTATTAAAATATAAACCAATAGCAGGGTAGAAATTGTGAAATTATTTAGTTATACAGTGCATATTCTGCCAGAGACAATTGAAGAAAACTGCAACTACTCGTGAAAACATACATTAAAAGCAATGTAGATGAAAGTAATAACTATTGTTATTAAAATTACCGATATATAAAACATTTTACACCAGGTATTTGAAAAAAATCGGAATATATTTTTGCATATAACATAGTTTCCATTGAACGCATAGAGTACATATTTAATTACAAATATCTTTAAGATCACTTCGAATTGTAAAAATAGCGCTAGTTACTTGTATTGAAGTATAAAATATTTTATTACGTTCATTTTTACTTATAAAGCACATAACAATATTGCTCTCGCCATTTAACCGATGTTAAAATTTTTCACCACATTATTTTGCTGCACAGCACCCTGAATACGGCAAAACGGTTGCTCGCAACCCTCAAGTCCTTTATGGGGACCAAATTAACAGCCACAACAACAATAACCTTTTCTACTGGTATACTGTGGTAAAAGAGGGAAAGTATTTGCACGTCGGTCGGATGCAAGAACGATAGAATACAAGATTGCGCATTCCCGCAGAATGACATTTGTGGCAACGGGTAAACAAAGAATATGGCGAAGAGTGAGTTGGCAGTTGTGAATTTGCAGTGAGAAAACGTGTTTTCTTCTCGATTCACCAATTTCTCAAGCCATCTTTGAATATAGCAAATTAAGCACTACGTTAACAAAAAATATACAACCACTCTTGAAATGTGTTCAAAAGAATAGGTCTTATTAATTAACTATTTAGAGTTTTTGTGTTTGTATTGCAGGTGCCGAAAAAGTGATAATATCTTGTCGCAGCGCATGTTTTCCTGCAGAAAGTGGTCGATGCTTGCTTACCTCCGATTTTAATTTGTAATTTGTGGTATTTCAACGTTTTCAACTTAACATGTCGTGTTTAAAAGTGGTCCGTAAAGTGCTTCATGCATATTACGCTGGTGTCTAAATTGTATGGCTTCTCCTGCCGGCAGAACTCTACCCACTTTCTGGCCAAGGCGTCGTCGCGGGGAAACAAAACAAAACTGAATTTGGGGGCTTTACCCTTACGGCTGCTGCAATTCAACACACGACACGACATTTTTATAAAGTTTTTATTACAAATAAAACGGTTTTTACTTCAGAACGCACGAATTACTTCGATTTTTCACTTGAAAATACACAATACGTTTGGACTTGTTTCTAAACAAAAAGTTTGTTTACATATTGCCATAAATGTCAAAGTCGGCAAAACCAAAGAAGCGGTTTCGGGAATGCGCCACCTTCAGTTCATTTCACCATGGATCGGATGTCTTGTTAGGCCGTTTAAATGGAATTACGCAGATGTTTAATATATAAATGAGTTTGTAAAAGGGGCCGAAGCATATAACATAGGCGTGGAAGTTTTTATCAGCCATAACTTCTGTACCACAAGTCACATGACCCCTTTAATTCCTTCTTATATGACTTTCGAATTTAACTTCAGTTTCCAGTTCGCTTAGCTTTTGAGATGACAATAAACAAAAGTGCCTTGAAATAAAACCCAAAACTTTATCGAAAATAAAATGCATGATAATGCAATTATGTAATATTAGACTTATTATTCGTAAGAAATTAGAAGGTTAAAATTCAGTTATTACATTGGAATTTCTACTATTATATAATTTATTGGAGATATTTTAATGTAAATAAAAACACCTGACGTGCCAAAAAATAATTAATTAATTTCATTCCATTGCACCCAAGCTATACTACTATTCTCCATATTCTGCTATCACGGCTATGGTGAAATTGGAGCAGAAATAAAATATAAAATTTTTATATAAACTATTTTTCATATTTGTATAAAGACGTGGGGTGAAACCCGCGGGTGAAAGCTAGTACTAAACAAAGTGAGGTCACTTGTACATAAATGGTTTCTTCTGGAAATTCCTAAAAAACATGTCTCGCAGATATGCCTTGAGGAGAGATTTATAAAGCGGTTAGTTTTTATAAAACATTTCAATATCACTTGAGGTTTCAGTATTCCCAAATTCTCCACCGATATTATTTATATTCAGAATGCAAATATGCCTTGAGGAGAGATTTATAAAGCAGTTAGTTTTTATAAAACATTTAACTTTCACTTGAGGTTTCAGTATTCCCAAATTCTCCACCGATATTATTTATATTCAGAATGCAAATATGCCTTGAGGAGAGATTTATAAAGCAGTTAGTTTTTATAAAACATTTAACTTTCACTTGAGGTTTCAGTATTCCCAAATTCTCCACCGATATTATTTATATTCAGAATGCTGCTTTATGACACATTTACTAAAAATCGCAGGTATCTTCCTGAAAAGAATACGAAGAATACCAATGTTTCTGAAACAGGGAAATTGTCGCTGAATTGTCGATTTAGTCGCTGAACTCATATCCTGAACCGCCTAAGTCGACTTAGGAAAGAATTGAGTTATATATGCTATCGTTTTCTGCAACTACTATTCCATGTGTATGTGAAACTCACATTTAAAAAGTTATATATGCAAATATTTTGGTTTCCCCATAAGGTTAACATTACAATCCAAATCTTTAAAGTGTTTTTTCTCGAATTCAGGTTTTTCGACTTAGGCGTTTATTACTTATGACCAGAGACATATTTTTTTTCGAATCCGCAATTAAAAATGTATTTTTTTTTACTTATTCTCGTATGTGCTTAAACTGGTAAATTATATAAACATAGGAATGCAAGCAGAAGAAGCTCGCATCCACATTGCGCATATGCGCTTAACATTTCATCTCCAAAGCAAATATTGAATCTCATTTAATATATACTTTAGATTTTAATAATCATTGACCCATTTTAGATATTTTTTGTGGAACAAACGCCGAACTCTTTCTTACTACACAAAGTTAAGCAGAAACTGAAATTAAAAATTTTAAATTAAGTGGTTTACAATTTAATGTTAAATTTTGCCAAGATTTATGAAAGAGAACCTTGATAATGAATTTTTTAAGACCGCGCCGATTTTCGCGCCAAAACTCTGCTTAACCGTTGCCATTGGTCAGCATATTGAAAATATATTGGAGATGGTTAAGAACGACCGCAGGAATGCAGAAGCAGTCACTACGGAGTTAATTAAGAAAGCTCGTATGATTACCGCCGACCTAGGAGTAGAAATTTCTCTACCACGCCTGGCAGGTAAACAAAAAAAACAAAAGTAACCCCCATCGGTCAATGAAAATAAGTACTTCCGACGACCGATAATAATACCGAATCTGGATTCACTAACGGCCTCTTTGCAACAAGACTTTTCCAATAAAAATACTCCAGCTCCAGCAGATGTACAAAAGAACGCGAAACATTTTGAACAAATCTATGATGATATTGATATTGAAGTTGTAGATCTATTTAAAGAAAACACGAATTTCTACCAGCGATAAATAAGTGTATTTCTATTTTGAGCACTTCTCCATGCACAACAGCGACTGTGGGGCGATCGTTTAATACATAAGAAGCATAACAGGAGAATAAAGGCTTTCTGGACTATGCCTCATGTGTGTCCATAGAAGAATCGTTACCGAAAACCTTGATTCAGTAGGAAATAATCGAAAAGTTTTTCTGAAAATCCGAGACGTTTGATATTAGCGTAAAAATTATTTAATATAAAATAGAAATGTTTTAAGAAACATGTATATTTACTTCAGCCCCCCTACATTTGAACCTGGATACGCCCTGGATAACAACTGTTTTGATTTTCATAGGAAAGGTGCATAGGTGAAAGGTTTTTGTGAAGTAAAACCCGATCGATAATAATTCAGGATATTTTATTAATGAGTAAAAGTAACAAATAGCAAAATGGAAAATGATATTAATTAAACTTGACTTGACCGGAAGAACAGTGGAACGGAAGAGAGCTAGTACACGAGTTAAGAAGAGCAGAGTTGCCTAATACACTTCTGAAGTGTTTTCTGACATTCGTTATAAGNTTGCCTAATACACTTCTGAAGTATTTTCTGACATTCGTTATAAGTTAGTGATACCAGATTTCTTACAATGAAGTTGCTCAAATTACACGTTGATTTTGAGAACTTTTTTCGTTGAAGGAGCACATAAAGCATATTTACTCAAATTTTTTGTACATAAGATACATAAAGAAAATTCAATTCATCAAAATAAACGTGCCTTTTGTTATACTAAAATTAAGTGCACTATAAGAGTGCATACGCGAAAGTTTTCTAAAAATTCTGACAACAAAGTTTTAAATTTTAGTGTTTTTTTTTGAAAAAGTTTGAAACTTTGTTTTTTATGGTTTTTGTTGTTGAATTGACTATATTTTTATATAAAAATAACTCAAATTACATAAAGGGTTATTAAATTTTCAAAACTTGTCAAAATGTCGCGCTGATAGTTTCGTG